TGTTATAAATTTATATCAATGTATTTTAGTGTATTAGTTCCTTGTTTTATATTTGTATCATGTGTTTCAATGTATATGTTCCCTGTTATACATTTGCATCAATATATTTGAGTGTTTCTATAGTGTATTTATCACAAGAATGTATTTACATCAATGTATTCAAGTGAAAAGAGTTGGTAACAACATAAAAATTTATGTATCAATATCGTACAATTAATAGTCAGTGATATAGCAAAATCAATGAAGAAGAAAGATCTTGTAGCACAATTCATTTTTTTATTATGGAAAAGATCTTGTGAGATTTAAGTGTTGAACTCTGAAATCTCACAAGATCTTGTTGGACAAATAATGCACTACATCAAATATTATATTTGTGTACAAAGTCACTTTTAATAGAAAAATACATTGAATTTTGGGTAGCAAAAAAGGGTTTCATGTATATTAAAGATCTATGTTTAAGATTTTTCAGAAGTATTATAAAAATATATATATTCTTATTCTTATTTTTAGTTTTAAATGCATTATTCAGGAAAGAGTTTAGGAAATTATGTTTTTATGTTACCTAATTGTAAAGATTATGTTTTGAAGAAAGTTTAGCCACTGCAAAATACGAAAGTTTACAACTCTTCATTACAAATAGATATGGTTTCAAAGAAAATTTTCCTTTATCCTGAAAACTCAAAACATCAGTATGCTATAGTTGTGAGCTTAGTCTCACCAACAGTACAATTTTACAAATTTGAGCAAAAACTCACAATATGATTTCAGTTAAGTTTTCATGACATATTATATATGAGCATATATAGATTATTTTGAGAGGATTATTTAGCACCGAGCGAACGAAGGCTCTAGAGCCCAAGTTTCAGAACTATGTGATACCATATGTTTCACCATTTTGCATGTGAATCCACACTAGCTAGATAGGTTTCATACACTGTCAAAGTATAAGGCAGCCTTCCCCAATTGGGATTGTAAGTTAGTGCCTCATGAGCTCACATTATTTATGTCAGTTGTAAGAAATTCTAACTTAAAGATCATATACATACTTTTATAGTTTGAACATATATGATTATTTATGCAGTAACATATATAGTTTTTAGACATGTTTTCAGTTTAAGTTATAAAACCGATTTTACTTTATCATCAGATGATAAAAGTATTTTTAAGCATCTTGCACACTATTTGATGTTTCTCTTTTCTAAATCTTAGATATGCAGACGTCATGTTTCTATTATTCAGTTTTAGAATATTTCCCAACCTTTAATTTGAAAATCATATTTCATACTACTCAGTTGACTTTATTTCAGTCTATCTTCAGAGCTATTCATTTAGCTCATCATTTTCAATTTTAGCTAGTGTTTCATTCAACTATTTTACATATCATACATTTCATGTACTGACGTCATTCGACGCTGCAACTTTTAACGATGCATACTCAGGTATTCAGGATGGAAGAGAGACACATCATTAGGATCACGTTCATCCAAATATGATGAGACCTCCTTACTTTCGTAGAGCTCTAATTTATCTTGAGTATTAATAGTTATTTATATTATTAGTAGAGTTCAGGTAGCCAAGGGTCTTGTCCGAATAATCTTTCTTAAGTATGTTAGAGGGTTTAGTTGAGTTATGATCATAGTTGTACTTTTTATAAGTATATGCATATTATACATTAGGGGTGTACAAAATCGAACCGAAAACCGAACCAAACCACAAATCGAGTCAACCCGAAAAAAAATCCGACTAGTGGTTTGGTTTGACTTGGTTTGGTTTTGAAAAAAAAACCCAACTATATTTGGGTTGGTTTGGTTTAAACTAAAAAAAACCAACCCGACATTATATATATAATTTTAAAATTTTATTTTATACATAAAAATATTTACTTTGATATAATTTTTAAATATTTCTTATACTTTTTCATAGTTTTTATCTTTTAATATATTATTTCAAGTTTGAAACTTAGAATTATGAATGGGCCAATAAAGATTATAGTCCACAGATGTTGGTAATTATAATAAAGCTTAAATCAAAAT